TGTGTTCTACAATGTGCCTTTGTCACGTCTACTTCAGTTTTTTGCTGCGTTCTAAGGTGAAGTGTTTCCTAGCAAAGATTACTAAACAGATGCTATTGTTAAACCAAAATACTGGAATTATTTTAGATTAGGTAAATTTACATTCATACATACTTGTGGTAACTTTTGAAAATTTATATTTAAAGCTGCAGTCATTTATTTATTTTTTTGCCAGAAGAAGCTACAAACACAATGCTGACATCAGCGATCTTGATGTAACTCTTATAAAGCTTTTATGGTGAAGGTGTTAGGGAACAAGGTTAATTGACAAACAATGGGCTAATAGAGGCTTAAACACTACTCTGGTGTGAAAAAGTGTTTGCCCCCGTCCTGATTTATTTATTTATTTTTTTCACGTTTGTCACATTTAAATGTTTCAGGTAAACAAATTAAAATATTAGAAAAAAATAACACGTAAACTCAAAATGCAGTTTTTAAATTAAGTTTTTTATTATTAATAACCATCACACTGCCACCACCATATTTTACTGTTGGTGTGATGTTCCTTTTCTGAAATGCTGTGTTACTTTTATGCCAGATGTAACGGGACACACAACATCCAAAAAGTTAAACTTTTGTCTCGTCAGTCCAGAGTATTTTCCCAGAAGTCTTGGGGCTCATCAAGACGTTTTATGGCAAAACTGAGATGAGCCTTTATGTTCTTTTTGGTCAGCAGTGGTTTTCGTCTTGGAACTGTGCCATGCAGATAATTTTTGCCCAGTCTCTTTCTTATGGTGGAGTCATGAACACTGACCTTAACTGAGGCAAGTGAAGCCTACAGTTCTTTGGATGTTGTGGGGGTCTTTGTGACTCTTGGATGAGCCGTCGCTGCGCTCTTGGGGTAATTTTGGTCAGCCGGCCACTCCTGGGAATGTCCACCACTGTTCCACATTTTCGCTCTCACTCACTGTCGTTCGCTGGAGTCCCAAAGCTTTTGAAATGGCTTTATAACCTTCACCAGTTTGATTAATCTCAATTACTCTGTTTCTTATTTGTTCCTGAATTTCTTTGGATCACAGCTTGATGTGTAGCTTTTGAGGATATTTTGGTCTACTTCACTTTGTCAGGCAGGTCCTATTTCTTGATTGAGAACAGGTCAGGCAGTAATCAGGCCTTGGTGTGTCTAGAGGAATTGAACTCAGCTTTCCACAGATGTGATAAACCACAGTTGATTTATGTTTTAACAGGGGGGGAAATCACTATTTCACACAGGGTCATGTAGGTTTGTATTTTTAATAATAATTAAAATAATAATAATTCTTAATAATTCTTAATAATAAAACCCTTCATTTGAAAACTGCATTTTGTGTTTACTTGTGTTATCTTTGTTTAAACCAATTGAAATATTGGTTTGATGATCTGTAACATTTCAGTGTGACAAACACACAAAAAAAAATTTGAAATCAGGAAGGGGGCAAACACTTTTTCACACCACTGTATATAGAGCTGATGGGAACTGCCACATTGGGTGATAAATTCTTTATGGGTTGTCACAATGAGACACATTTTTCATGTTATACATAGTAATTTGATTGATTGCTAACATAAAAAAAAATATTGAATGGTGCTTTAATACAATAATAATTGAAACATTATAATACTTATAAACACTGTATTCTTGTCGTCCCAAAAACTGCTGTTCTGTGATATTTATGTTTTGATGACGCATCCCTTGAAAATGTTTGGCACTTGACTTTAGTTTGAGTGCTGGCCCAGCTTCATAGAGCAGACAAGTTTAGATGGCAAATGGGTTTAGATCCATTTTTCTTTTATGAGACTATCCATTATTTAACTCTGAGGGCCATCAGCTGAGTCAACATTTCGCCCTCTGGACATCATGTTCAACATGAAATGAACCAAAACCGCAACCTAAGCATCAGGGATCCCACCGACCCCAACCATTTCCCAGTAATGTTCAGGGCCGAGTGACAAATAAAGTCTTTTTGTGTCTTCACTTGATTTCTCATTTAAGTACATTTTTTTTTTTTGTTTGTTTTGGACATCTAATCTTGTATTTGCTATTTGTTATTTTTTCTCATGAAATCCCACCTTTAATATTTCCATGCTTGTACGTCAATTCAAGGTCATGCATCTCGTGAATTTGATATCTATTCATTTTTTAATATTGTTTGGAACTGACAACATCTCAAATCGAATTTCAGTAGAGCATACAGACCAATACAGAAAATGTCAGCACTTTGCAGTTGCAGGTTCTCTTAACCTTACTGGCTTGCTGTTAGTATACAATCTGGCTGTGTATGTGTCTGAAAAGGACAGCTAACATGAAGAACAGAGCACAGGATCTAACAAAACATAGCAGAAAAGCTTGTGTATGAATGGTTCACCCCACAGAATGAAGGGTGTTTTCTTTAAAGGAAAAGTGAAACTAATTTCTGTTTCTGGCCATATGTTTTGAGAGATTGTTACAGGAACCAAACCTTTGATATAGTGGAATCGTATTTAGTATTTCTATAGCATGTGTTGGTTTAGAGCTGACTTTATTCAATCCTGGTATTTGATTGATTCTTGACTACAGCTTTGAATTCAGATCACAGTTTGAGTGTTTGGCAGAACCCTTTGTGAATATCATTTTGAGGTGGAAGACTGACTCCAAAATCACTGTTAAACCGTCACGTCTGATGATTCTGTTCAGTGTTTTACTCATGCCTAACAGAAGAAGAGCAGGTAAGAATGCTTTCCACAGCGTCACCTCTGACGTAAACCAGTGTGATGTTTGTGCTAAAACTCTCATTACAGCAAGCATGTCATAAATTACTTTTCTCCTCTCTACAGAAGTCCATTCTTTATTCTGGTAAAAGAAGATAAAGAGAAAATCTGAGCTTAAGCGTGAATGGAGAGCTTCAATGTTGTCAAACCCACCGACTGATGTTGGTGTTGTTAAGAAGGCAGAATGTAGGGAAAAAAGTAAAACACAGCTTATTTCTTCAAAGGTGTTCATCATCGCTCTAGTGGTTTCCCATCCTGCCTTGGGAGTCACTGGGCAGTAGCTATACATACAGTACTAGGGCATTTCCTGCATAATACTCATCCTTAGAAGTAGTGTTTGACAGATAAGGGAAAGGCGTGGGCAGAAAAGGGTGAAACAAACAAGTAAAAAGATTAATTGTTTAAGATAATTAAATGGTAAAAGAGGGAAGATCAGTGACAAATAATAAATGGAGAGATGAGAAACATCTTCAAAATATAGTTAGTCCTTATTAATCTTGTAGAAACACAGGAAACAAGTTGAGTGTGAACAGGCAAACTTCCCACAAATGAGCCACTATTGGACCAATTAGTGTGATTTTGGTAAGGCATGAATATCAATATAGGGATATGCTGTACATTAGCTCTTCAGTAAGTTGTTTCTGAGAAATTACAATGAATAAACAGGGAGTCAGTCGCTTCACTCCTGATTCATAAATATATCATATGACCTGCAGTGTGTGGAGATTTGGCATTTGAAGGACAAATAGACTAACTAATAGACTAATAAAATAAACTAACAGAGACAAAAACTAACTGAGAACACCATTAACCAAAATGTTACAGAAACAAGACAAACATAAAACAGGAAATGAAAAGGTTGAAAATTGATAATGTAGACTGAAAAAATAACCCTAAAATACCTCAAATAAAAGGCGGTGTTCAATAGAAAAAAATCATTATAAAATGTGTTGTACTATGATGACTCGCATGATTAATTGATAATGTTGTGTGTTGTACAACAGAGTTAACGTTTACTAATCACCTCTACTTTGTGTATTTATTTGCATCTGTGTAACTGTTATTATCAATAAAACCCAACACTTCCTGCAGATGATTCAAAATAAAAGCCTACCAAGAAAGGGAGAACATTATACAAAGGAAACAGCAAATTAAAATGTAAGAAGATTTAAAAACGAGGAGGCTTAATACTAAAATATGATCTCAAAAATGTGAACATTTGAAAGGCCTCTAATAAAAGCCTGTTTCAAAAAATGAGGTAAATAAAAGCTTCTATTTGAGAATTTATGGTACTATCAAAAACACTTTTGTTTACCTAACTGAGGTGAGGGATTACATGTATTAGAACAGGAAAGTAAAAATGTGTCATTGTGGGACAGCTGTTAGCTGGAGTCCACAGAACCACACACACACACACACACAGAACAGCTCTTGAGGACACACAGGACAGGAAAGAGCACATAAGTGCAACGTGTCTCTGCAAACCCTCAGCCAAAATCTAATTACAGTCTAGTGGAAGACACAAATGTGCAGGTACTGTGTGTGTGTGTGTGTGTGTGTGTGTGTGTGTGTGTGTGTGTGTGTGTGTGTGCGTGTATGTAGTCCCAAACTGTGTCTGGTTGTCTGTGGCAGCCTGAAATCATAGTTTGAGCATATTAAAGAAAAGCGATTATTCACCATCAGCAAACATCATTAACAGATTGAGACACTCTTTAACTAATATAAGAAATATGACAGTCTGCTGTTAACTTCTAAAACCAAGTTTATGGGTGTCATTTTACTCTCCCCTGTATGTAAGTGCAAAAAGAAAAAGAAAAGCCACCCCCGATGGTTCTGTGAAACTACTAAAACTTTGGATATGACATTCATATTGAGTGCTAATATTTGAGAGTGTGTGCCTAAGAGCAAGAGATGTTCTGCACTCAGCCACTTGGTACCCGGGGGTTTATTGAAGAAATGTGGAGCTTTAAATCTGCCAAATTACTGCCGCTTTCACTGTGAGGCGGAAACAAAGGCAGAGAATTATACCTGCAGGATGGAAAACAACATAGAGCGAGCTGACAATAAGGACGAGAAAGCAAAAGAGAAAGACAGGAAGATAGAGAGAGACAGACACAAGTAAACCAGGATAATGATCTCTCTAGATTGTGCCCTCCTGAGAGAGAGAGGGAGGGAGGGAAAGAGTTGCGACAGAGAGATTTTTTTTTTATTTTGTTAGGTGGAGTGACACTTACTTCTCGATGAGGTCTAACGTCACCCCTGGCACCAACTTGGCACTCTTCTGCATACAAAACCTGGGGAAAAAAAAACAGACAGGGAAAAGCTGCTGATAAAAGCTGCAAAGAAAATAAGAGGTGCTCACAGACTAGACAAAGCAATAAAAATGTTTGGCCTCTACAGTACAGGTTTTACGACCTACGAGAGAGCCAATCAATGGATAAAACACTCAAATGAAAAATGAGAGCTTTGGAGATTACAACCACTGAGCGCTTTGATAAGTGTATTTTGGCTGAGTTACAGTCAAAAGGGAGGGGGCAGGTAGCTGGAAAGAGTCATATTTATGAAACGTTTGGCCTGAGGGTTATTGTTTACTGTGCGTGGTTAGCTCTGGCAGGGTGGGCCAGCTGTAAGTCACAGCAGGTTGCCGTTCAGAGCCACAACAGACGCACAGCTCGGAGCTAGAGTATGCATCCAGCAGACATGGAGCAACATTAGCATTCATTTGGAGTCATGGTTCTGGCTACCTCATGAGTGAAAGTGCAATATTCACTTTTATCTCTGGTGTGGTCATCATCAACTCCTGTTAGTGGCTATTAAACTGCTAGATGCTAACTCAGCAAACTGCCAAGTGTCTGGCTGAAAACAGCCACCTGCTGCTGCTAGAAACAAGAGCAGTGAAACCAAACCACAACAGTAAAGTTGTGCACCACAAAACCAACACATTAAAGCTAGATGCTCCAAAGAGAACTTTACGGTCCATCACTGAGTAACACCCTTGACATTACTGGTCATTTGACCCATTGTTCATATAAATACAATGAGTAGTGCAATAATAATCATATATATATTCATTTGAATACATTTCTGTTAAGTCGCTATCTATCGGATGAGGTAACACAAGAACTGGACATTCCAGGAAAATAATACTTTGTTTAGATAGATTCATATTAAAAGCATTTAACCAGTGAAACATAAGTTTACTTGTATTATAAAGTAGCCACAGAAAATACAATGTGTTTGTCAGTGAGATTGACACTGACTCGTTAATCAAAAATCAGTCTATAAAACAACATTTTGCAAGATGAAGAGCTGCAGGCGACAGGCTGCACACCTCCAACCTCTCAGCAAGGTAACCAAGACCTTTCACTGTGCGCTGCTGTTCAGACTCATGCCGTGTGCAGCATAAAATCAGATCAAGGTTGCTCACAGAATGATGGAAAAAGGCCAATTACTGTCTGACTACTTTATTAAAATGAGAATAGTTTGTTTTGTTGTCCCCACAATTCTGTGACCCTTAGTATTAAACTGTATTTGCTTTTAACACCAGTGTTGGGATCTGATAGGGGGCATATCAAAGACAATTTGCAATATGAATAAAGTTAATATTACAAAAATGACTGATAAAAGTTGAATAAATACAGAACACCACCATAGAATCAGGGACCAATAACCAAACGTGATCTCAAAAAGTGGTTTGCCCATCTATAAATGCTATTTTACATTAATAAGGAGGTCCGGTGAATCTGAGCACTGACCGTCACAACTAGCTATTATTATAACACATACACAAATAACGACAGGCAACTGCTCTAAAAAAAGTTACACTAGGATTTATTTAACTTAAGCACAGATCAATGATCAGTAACTTCTGCCGTGTGTGTGGGATAATAGAGGGGGAAAGTTGGCAAGATGGCAGATGCGACCTTCAAACATCATATACAAAAATAATATAAATAAACTATTTTACATGGTGTAGTGCTGATGAATTAATGAGTCTCACTCAGTCTGGTTTGACGATAGCAGATACTTCTGTATCTCTTACCACACGGCAGTAGGGTGAACAGGCTGTGTTTAGGTGGGTACTCAGGGCTCCAGACTCACGTTTTGCATAGGTTGTTGCCGTAGTGCGCCTACATTTTTAACTAAGGTGCACACAAATTTTTCACAGCACCTTTAGCGCCATAACAGTATATTCTAACCTTCTGTCATTTCCCATACACACACTGATATTTATGTAAACAGGAACGCCTACGTATGTGTAATGGGAAGCACAGCATCTTCTTCTCGAGTTACCAGTGGCCTGCCATGAGTTTAATTTTCGTCCCAGGATGAGTAGCCAGTTAAACGCAATTTTAAAAACACACACACACACACACCTTTGTTCTCATTGTAAAAGACAATCAGAGGTGAAGAACTGCTAATTAACAGTACTGCGTCAGATCAATGCCGTTGGTTAGGCTGCCGTTTACCCCCCGGAGCGTACCCTGTGCCGTAGCCTGCCGGCAACACACACACACAAATAGAGATGCGGCCAAATTGGTCTGGAGCCTTGGTATTGGCTTTTAGTATTCACTGATCCTCGGTAGATGGTAACTAATGACTTCTGAGCTTAAACCACCCGCTGCAGAGCCCTCCTCGTGGGCCGTGCACATCCCATGCCAGTTGGTGATGTTTCCAGGATGCTCTACTGCTCCTCTGTGACAAGAACTTGGTACGGGAATTTGGCCTTCTTAGATTCCTTAAGAAATGCAGCAATCAGCTCCTTTGCTGACGTCGAGCAGTAGGTTGTTCTCTGAGCACCCCTCCGCAAGATTATGAATGTCCTCCCGAAATGAAGTCTGATCGTTGGTTGAAATCCGTCCGATGATGATGGTGTCATCCACAAACTTCACAACAGACTTCTCTCCATGTCAACAGGAGGGGGCCCCCGTGGAGGAGTAATGTGGCCTCACACAATAGGGGAGGTCCTGCTTTTGTAGCCTGTGATGTTTTTGATTGCCTGCCACATATCTTTGGTGTTGAGATCTGTCCAGTCTCTGTTGATGTCTCCGCTTCGCCTCCTTGATGCCAGCTTTCAGTCAGTGATAATGTATATTCCTCAACAGTGATGTGGTTCCTCTGGGTGGGGTCCTCTCTGAACATGTGCCAGACTGTGCTCTCAAAACGGTCCTGTAGAGCTGCTGTAGCCTCATCTGTCCTCACTGATTTTTTTACTATTAGTTTGACCTCAAGTAAACCTGCCTACTTACACCCAGCTGTTTAAAAGGGTCAAACACAATATAAACAACATCTGGTTATTTTGTTCATGTGACTGCTGATGACCCTTATACAGTTCCTGTAATGTTAAAATTGTGATTTGGCTTTTTTACAAAGTTTTAAGTCATGATTATAAGTTCTGAAATGGTTTTGACCGTAAGGACTAGACAGTTTCACCTGACCTGAATTTGACAAAAAAATTGTTGTTGAAATTGTATAGTGTAGAATAAAATCACAAGGTTCAACAACTGAAGCCTGGAAGAGAATTCAAGAATTTATAGAAGGCACGGATTGGGATATTTGTCTCCAACAACTGATTCACCATGACTGTGACATAAGCACCGGCAATCACATTCAATTGTTCTTCCTAATGCTGGAAATTAATGAGATCCCACATGACACCAGTGTGTGACTTAATGTCTCTTTAAAGAACAGCACGGGCCCTGGGTGTGCCCGACCCTCAAGGAACAAAGAGGAGAAAGGATGTATCCAGGACAACTTGTTCTAAAGTCTTAATGATCAGCAACTTCCTGAATGCAAGCCATGATGTGCAAAATGTGCACTGGTGTGTGCCAGCACTTTGCCGTTTGCCAGGAACACAGGTATATCATTGTTTCCCCAATACAATGCAATCCAAGAGCGTTTATTTTTGAATTTCAATTGAACCACAGATTAAAGATTTTGTTGATGTTTTTGTCTGCACTTGCCGCAAAAGGGATATGGTGAATCCCCAGACATAAACAGAGATGATTAACTAAAAAGGGAGCCTGGCAGAAACAGACAGACGGGCCAAAGTAAACAGAGCACAGACCGAGCAGGAGGTTGCATCAGGGAGAGCGTGTTTTAACGCAACCCCTGAGCGAGGAGATCTAAAATCCCTCAGGCAAAAATTGGAGGAGGGAGAAATAAGGAAGGAAAGAGCAGGAGAGGAGAGGAGCATTTGGTCCCACCAGTATCTTTAGTCATCTTAATCCACAACCTGCCTTAGAAAAAAAGCCATGTTTGTGCTTAAAAATGATCAAACAGACTATAATATTCTGATCACACACTGCGACTGCGAGAAGTGATTCTGCGAGTCATTGTAATCATAGTATATGAACCCTAAATGATTTCCCTCTGGCTTGTTTATCTTTTCTAATACCAAAACTATGAATCCACCACAGCAAGTGACTATGTTTACTGCTTAGCAATGAGACAAAGGAACCAAAGGTAAATCTTTAAAATGGAAAATGTGTTTTCAGGTGTGTGATCCTGCTGTAAGAAGACGGAAATTATGTATAATATGGGTATCAATCTATGGTATGCAGCCAGGAGCTAAACATCATCCCTGTGACAAACTCGAGGGGAATCAGACAGAGATGCAGATGATTCTTTTATTTCACAGACCTCAATGCATTTCTACAAGATAAAATGTCACTCTGAGACTGAATGGTTTGAATGAGTAGTGAGGACAGTGGAGAGCTTTTAAAGGCACTTGGACAGTATCTTTTCAAATCTTTCATCACTCTGGTCTCACCTTAAACTCACTGGGTCTTTGTAAAGTATCTGCTGAATGCAGTTCAGCCAGGTGACGCACTGAATTTGCTGATTAGCAGTGCATTTACACTAGTACCTTCAAAAGGAAAAACATATCACACCAGGTGTAAAGTAAATGTTAAGCCTCAAAGTGGGACACAACAGGACATGACTCAAGCATCAGTCCGCCAGAGTTGACCGGACAGCTTGCTTTTGGTTCCAGTCAGAAATATTTTCTGAGACTGAAAAAACAGCTGGACTCCATTTTCTTTTAGGATTTTCTAGTCAACTTCTAATTCAATGCATGCACTAGATGATTTGAAAAATAAATATTAAGTGAGCAGTAAGATTTGTTTCAGGGATCAGTCTTGCATCAAAAAGGAAATTGCAATGATCACTAATGTAAAACTGATAATAATAGTTTACATTTGGCTGATTGCCCATCTTGCTCACATGTTATTGCACATTTGACCTGGTGATGGTGACTTTGTTTGAATTTAAAAGATCGAACAAAGTTATTGCT